GACCTCCTTTTATAGTTGATTTTTCTAGGAAAAGGATAATGCCTTAGCCTTAAAAAGGCAATTATGAGCATTAAATGACATTAAATAAAACGTTACAGAATCATTCCTATTCAATACTGATTCGCTAACGTATTTGACATTCAATACTGAATTTAGACTCCTTTATGCCATCAGATTCATATCTTCAATTCCTTCTGACCTCCTGGCTTTAATTAAGTTAAATAGATACGAGACTCGTATCATTTGAATAGCATCTCGTGCCTATTTAACTTTCTTCTCCTCGTATCTGATATTGCCCGTGCCTCTTAACTGATCATCATGTTTTGACCATTTGACCAGTCCACGTGTCATGCCACGTCACCTTCAATTATAAATTCAGTTTTTTTCCCAATACATAGCCGACACCAGTTTGATTGGGATTGAGGCTTACTAGTTTATGTTGTCATTGTTGTTTTCTATTTTCTCCTCATTCTGGTATGAAGAATGAGCTCTTACAAGCTCTCCCTGTATTTTGTTACTTTGTCCTTGTTCTTAAGAGTAAAACTTCAGATTGTAAGACTTTTTCACTACATAAGAAAAAATTGAATTTTGGGAATGATCGACTCAAATAGATGCTCATTATAAGTTCCCCCCCCCCCCCCCCCCCCGTCCTTCATGTTCTATTGACCAGAAGTATCCAACAACGCTACACCACTAGAAAGAGTTAAGCTACTAAGCTAAGCTGTTGTTGATGAACTATTACGTTTTACAGGGGTTTGGGTTTGCATTCTCCTGATGTGTCATATGATGAAACTTTTTAACTTTAACTATCGAAAAAGTGTATATTTATTGTGTACTGATAAAAGAATATCAACATTAGTACTTTGTCGCCCACGGCGAATTTAGAGATTTTGCTAAGGGTATTCCATACATACATATATACATACATACATATATATATATATATATATATATATATATACTACTATTATAAAAGAGCCTAAGAGAGGAGCTTAGGGTCGTCTAGTGAATTGACAACAATACCCTTTGAGTTTCTACTTCGCTGAAATGCCAACTTCACCAACAATATAATTGCCCCTGTTTTTTCATCTTATTACGTCAATTACCATCACACAATTTGATAAATAAAGGACACTTTTGAGGCATTCTCGAGGCCCAAACCAAGCCGAACTGCTTTGATGGAATATCTATTTGCCCCTGTTTTGTATATTACATCAATTGCTATCACATATTGATGTAAATAAGCGAAATTTTGAGGCATTTTCAAGGCCCAAATGCCACGTGGAACAACTTTTGTTTTAAATTTCTACATTGATATTGTAGACCCAATAAATTCTTATTGCTTTACTTATTAGACTCCACTGCTACTGAAGTGATGATATCATTGTATGTACGTGGTACAATACTCTATTTTTCAGCTCTTACAAGTTATATTTTATAGTTCTATTTTATGTAACTTTTGAATATTTATGTGCTTTGATAATATCATTTATTTGTTAGTATATATTTTTTATCAATCAAATTTTATTTGGGGATGAGAGGAGCTTTGTATTTAATTATATCGCAAGATGTATTATAAGATAGTTCAAAATATAAAAAATAAAATATCAAATAAAAATGGTAGAGAAAACTAAAGCTACTAAGATTTTTACAAAAATTAAATAATCCAACAATTTACATTCCTAAATGTAAAGTAAAAGCTCTATATTTTTCTAAATATATAATGTTTAAAAGTTTGTAATCAATTTTTTGTTTTAATATTTTTAGAAGTGTGTAAACAATTTTTCTCTTAATTTCTTATTTGATTTTAAAATAAGAACAAAGAGAATATTAACTATTATAACCAAGCCACAAATTATTTACATAAGGCTAATTCTTAAATGATATTGCACCATCTCAAATCAAAACGTTAAGTTACTTTTATTAATCATTACTCAAGCCATTCCCATTTAGAAAAAAACACTAGCTCCAATTTAGTTTAAATATTAGTGGTAAATTAATTATATTTTTATATCTTCTGTGAATTTTGAATTCCTTTTGGCAAGAGAAATTAAGGTTAATATCATGGGTTCCAATTAGAACTCATGGTATTGTCCAAAGGTTAGTATCTTTATCATTTCCATTTTATGATTATTTTTCCTTCTGTTAAAAAAAAGAAAAAGAAATATCATTATATTTAATATTATTAACTGATCAAATGTCAACGAAGAAAAATTCAACCTCCTTGGTTATTCATAATGATGAAATAAATTGGGATAGTATTTTTTTAATTTATTAGCGAGCTAATAATAATTGATACATGAAAAATTAATCAATGCACAACCTATTTTTGAACCTTACATATCTTACTTTATGTATATTAACTTGGATATTAGAAGCTATTTGAAGTTATTGGTGAATACAACCGAATAATTATTATTGAGTTTCTTTAATTATGGATGCCATCTATACTTTTGTTCGTGAAGTTCAGTGCTTGTATGCACTTGGAACAATTTCTATTACTAATCCATGCAATATATATTATATTTATTTATTCTTCAGCCAATATACATAGTTTAATCACTTAGATATTTAAATATTTTATAACTTTTCCCTGAAATACTTTAAAAGATTATTTAAAAATGTTCGAACACCTCAAAACAATTTTAGATTTTTATATTGGGCCCGTGCACATCACGGGCTTTACCTCCTTTAGTATATATATAGGGGTTTTGACACAGTTACCCATAAAAACAAAATTATTTATCCCTGTCTACCCATTTGTTTTCCTACCCATAAACTAATTACATTTCCTACCCATAGTAGATTTTGTGGGGAATTTTTTCTTTATTTTCCAATTCTTTTTTATTTCTATGCTTCTTTACTTTTCTTTTTTCTTTTTTCTTTTCTCCTTTTTTTTTCCTCGTTTTCTTCTTCTTCGTTTTTTCTTTTTTCCTTTTCTAATTTTATTTAACTTCTATTTTTTTTATATTCTTTTTCTCTTCATAATCTAATTTCATTTACTGTTTTCACTATTTTTTATTATTTTTTTTATATTATTACTAAAGAAAAATTAAATTGTGTACCAATTAAATGTAGTTAATACAACCAAAAAATATTAACTAACATATGATACCGGTATAGTATATAGCTATACCAACAGGGTATACAATTGTACGCAAAGAGTTAAAAAAATTTAATTCAATTATTAAACTGAAATAATATCAGTTGTCAAAAAAAAAATTAAAATTCTAAAAGGACCTAATTGTAAGAGTATACCATTACATCATATAGCATACTATAATGTTTTTTTATTTCTTTTTTTGCATTTTCAGTTTGCCCCTCACGCTTGGATAAAAGCTTAAAACAAATTAAAAGGGAAAAGACAAGTGAATTTACGGGTAATAAATATACTATTATAGTATATTGTATACTATCATATTGTTACAGTATCTTGCATATTATTACAGTATACCATAACAATATATTGTATACTATAATAGTATACTGTTGCAGTATAACTATATACTCCTATAGTATATTAGTATACTGTAGCGGTATACTATTTTGTAAACTATAATAGTATAGTGTTGCAGTATAGCTATATACTCCTACAACATATTGTATACCGTAGCGGTATATTGTAGCTGTGTTCTTCTTCGATTTTCAACTGAAAAATTCGATCTCAATCACCTCAAATCAGCTCCAAACGCTATCAAATTTCAGTATGAAATTCCAGAAGGTACTATAAGCAATATTTAACAGCACCCACTTTGAATCAAACAAGAAATCTTCAAAAATAAAATTGAGCTTCAAGCTCAACAATGGTAGGACCATGGAAGCATCACCCCGAACTGGTTCTTCGGTACAAAAAATGTCAGGTTCTTGCTTCTCTGTTGCTGCTACAGCATCTACTTCTTCACTGTATCTCTTCACTCAAAAGCCTAAATTCTCAGTAGATCATCTTTCCTTAAGTACTTATAATACTCACTTCAACTTCAAGATAAACTCAACAAAACTCAAAGTCCATTTCCCCATTTCTTCTCTTTATCGCTCTTCAATCTTTTTGAGCACTTGTGCTTCTGTGTCTGATGGAGTTGAGGTTGTCCAAGATGATGACGAAGAAGAAGTTGCATTGTCAACCGAAGAAGAAGAGGAAATTGAAGAAAAAGAAGAAGGTGTTGAGTTAGAATCAGTTGAAGGTGGTAGATTGTATGTGGATAAAATGAGGAAGAAGAAGTGCGGGTAAATAGTTTGGGGGCCATGGGTAGGAGTAGTAAATAGTTTGGGCATGGGCATTAAAGGATAAATAGTTTGGAATTAATGGGTATAAATTGAGATTTTCTCATATATATATATATATATATATATATATATATATATATATATATATATAGAAAGTGACATCAAGGAGTGCATGATACCCCAAGACTTAACCTTCTTTTCGAACTTCGTTATCTTCGAAGTTCCGGATAAGCGTGCTGGTTAATCCTGTTGCATTCAAGGTGTGTTGTTTCGAGATCATTATTTTTGTTACTCTCAAGTACTCAATTTTCTCTGACGAATTTTCCTATATATAAAACTGTAATACAACCAAATTTCACATCATAGCAAGCGTCTGAGTCTTCGAAAATCTCGGCAAAATTTTCCTTGAAACTTAGCATCATTTTTGTACCCGTCTCATATCATCCAGACTATAGCACTTAATAATCCCAAGAGTCACAGTAATTCATTTCAGACGGAATAAGCAAGATGGTAGACTAGCAAAATATATATAACAACAATAACAACAACCCAGCATAATTCGACTAGTGGAGTCTGGGGAGGGTAGCGTGTACGCAGACCTTATCCCTACCCTGGGATAGAGAGGTTGTTTCCAATAGACCCTCGGCATCCTTCCCTCCAAGAACTTCCACCTTGCTCTTGGGTGACTCGAACTCAGAACCTTTTAATTGGAAGTGGAGGGTGCTTTCCATCATAGCAAAATACATATAACTGTGTTATATAAAAATATAACACAATTTTTTTTTCCCGAAGAGTAAGACAGTTCAATGCATTACAAAATTACAACCATACACAAGGTTCATGGATAAATACAACAAAGAGTTTTCAATAACTGTCAAATTGAAACATAACAATAGAGAAAGAAGAAGTGGAACCAGCATTACTCATTGAAGGAAACTTGCGGCTCATCACTAAAGTACCCTGGCTCTAGCTCAAGTTTGCGGATAGGAATCAACACTTGCATCTGTAGACATAAAAGTAAGGAATGAGTTCACTGACTTAAACAAACACACACACACACACACACATATATATATAGAGAGAGAACATCAAAATAAGCATAGAATGTGTACTTACAAGTGAGCGTGGAGACTGAAGACGAGATTCGTTTTCTTCAGTCCCTGTTTGGGTTCTGAATGATGACCTTGAAATTGCTGTTTGCCATCTCTTCGCACTGAATTTCCTCAATTTTTCTGACTGATTGAGAAACAGTGTCTCCACACAAGATCACCTCAATCTTTTGCAGGGAACAACTATCACCAAACTCAGAAGGAATCTCAATGAGCTGCTTGCAATTTTGCAATACTATATGCTCAAGAGATGGGAAGGCATCATCTGATATATTCCAAAGTGTAATGTTCAGATTTCCCAATTTCAAGTATTTGAGATTTGGAAATTCCTCATCACTCACATTCCACTCTTCTCCCTCAAAAGCTTTTGAAAGCAATTTCAAAATTTCAAGGTTTGGTAATGCTGCGATCGCAGAAATTTCAACCCATGGCAGCCTAAACTTTGATAAGGTCAATTTCTTAAGGTTTGAGGGGAAGTTAAATTCACAAGGCAGAAGCACTCGGCCTTGATAAATCACATTGAGCGATTCAAGCTGATTCAAGAAATCCAAAACTGGAAATCGATTGCAAGATTCTCCCGATTTCTCAGAATGACCCCAAGATTCCAAAAATATGCATTTTAGTTTTTGAAGGAAAGGAAAACTAGTCATTATGTTCCCTTTGTCATAAGAAAGAGATGGGGTGGATAAGGTCTGCAAACAATCCAATTGGGACAAGTTGGAATCTGAGAAGGTACAGTTATCTATATGTGCATGCCTCAGCCTTGTCATATTGAAAAATGTATCTGGTAATGCTACCTCACCTTTTGTTCCTTTCACTAGGAAAGTTTCTAAGTTCCAGAGCTTGGAAATCCAAGAGGGCATGACCGTGATGTCACCTTGAAGTGACAAAAATCTCAAATGCACAAGCCTTTTTATTTGTGGAGGAAAGATATTGCCAATATTGATGCACCCCAAATCCAACACTCTAACAAGCTCTTTGACACCCCGAAATGGACCTTCTTCGGGAAGAGGACTTGGCCAGAAGCGGTGCCAACCGGGTTCAGAAGAATATATCATTGTGCGGGTAAGAGGAATGCGTGTATTCAGAACGAAATCTTCAAACCGCGATGCCACTGGCAAGAACTTTTCGGCTTTAGATTTGTCTCGACAGAAATGATATAGATAATCATGAATGCGACATGATTTCAGCCTGCCCTTTGAACTTCTTCTGGCCTCCATTACAAGGCTCCTCCCGATTAGATCATTCAGGTAATCTTCTGCTACCTCCTCTGGTTTCTTCACCTCATCTCTTCGTACAAATCCTTCACTAACCCACAACCATGTTAGTTTTGAAACTGAAATTTCTGTACTCATTGGCAATGCTGCAAAATATAGAAAACATTGTCTTAGATAACCTGACATTTTTTTGTAGCTCAATTCTATCATTTCATTGCAGTCTCCTACATCACGATTAGTTTCTGAACTAAATGCCTCTCCAGTGATGGTTAGCCGATCGCTGTCGTCCTTTATATTGACAAGAAACCCAGCTATCAAAACAATGGCTAGCGGTAGCCCTTGACATTTTACGGCAATTTCCTTCCCAACTTCAGCAGGACAGTTCTCATTTGGAATTGGGGGTTTGCGAAATTCTTCTCGAGTACATAAGCGAAGGTGATTATACTTCACTTGTAATAGCTCCCAACTCTCTTCCGGAGTCAACAAGCGAACCAAAAGAGGTTCATCAAACAATGGATTCTCATATTTTCGGCCGCCGGTAACAAGAATTCTGCTTCCATTATGATTATCTGGAAAACACCTGTGCAACTCATCAAATATATGAGAATCCCACACTTCATCTACAACGATGAGGTATCTTCCTCTATGTAACTGTCTGCGTAAAATATCAAGATAATCTAGCTCCTTCCCCTCCTCTGACTTGTAAATGTCATTGCTCAGATCAACGATAGAAATTAAAATATCTTGGGCCAATTCACTCGCCGTAAGTCTAGGAGAAACAGAACACCATGCTTGAATATCAAAGTGATCTGAAGTTCTTCTGTCATTGTAAATTCTTTTGGCGAGTGTTGTCTTACCAATCCCTGGCATGCCAATGACAGGAATGGCATTAAGCTCGGCCTCACCACCAATTACCCGTGCCATTAATATTTCTATCTGGTCCTCCAAGCCTACAACTGCTTCATCAATGATTGGAGTGCTAGGTTTTGATGTTTGACAATCACTTGGGGCATCCTTATTTTCCATGAAGATATGCGCAAACTCAACAATGTCCTTGAAAAGCTTAATTTCTGCAATGACATAGCCTACATCAATGTTCCATGTGGAAGAAAGATCAACCAAGAAGTTTTCCACATACTCAAATTTGAACTTAATTTCTTCAATGACATCGTCTAACTGATTGTTCCGTGGATGAGAAGGTTGAAACACTAACATGTCCACAGCATACTCAAATTTGACAAATAAATTGGTCATATGATTGCAAACATCTAACACTTCCTTACCTTCTCCTTGTTGGTCAACATTGTTTTCGAGAAAAGGTTTGAATCTTTTAATCTCAGCCAGTACAAATTTAATCTGATGTGCTACCGGAGCAATTGAATCAATCCTATGATCCAACAATCTCAGCAAATTCTGCGATACCAAATCTATACATCCCAAACTATCAATCTGGGAAAAGGGCAATGCTGGCTTTTGTTTCTTGATAGTACCCTTTAAGATCTTTGATGCCATAGGCTCCATCTTTTGCACCAAACGTGATATAGCAAGATCAAATTCTTTGTCCAAATCTTCATCCATTTCTCGGTTGTCCAATGATTTAATGAACGACCAAAACTCATTGAATACAAGATCAAAGATTATCAAGCTTTCCTTTTGAACTTCATTGCATAAGATATATACTAGCAGTAACCTGAGCGACTTCTGGAGTTTTTGAACACGATGTTTGTAGACCAGTAGATAAGACCGGGAATTGAGCTCCTCTGTTATCGGCGCTCCTAGGATGAAATTAACAAAGTCTGTTGCAAAGGCATCCAATTCCCTACTGAAGTTTAGCACTGAGGGTAAAACTTTCAGGGCTTCAACATAAGGTTTACTGCTGTGTAGTAGATCTACAAGGATGAAACAAAAGCCACCAACCATATAATCATCCGAATCCTTTGCCAAACAAAGTGAAGAGATACAACGTGCTGTTTCTTTTATTACACCTGTGACATAATCCCAGAATTCGTTGACGTCGTTGGGCCCATTATTAAAGTTGTCTAGTATGAAGGAAACAAAACCTCCCAGATACACTAGATTTCCTTTGACAAGTTGAAGTTTTTCCTTCACAGGAGCAACAAAATCTGCCCTGAACTTGAGCAAAAACTCTAGATTGTCGACAAGGGAATTAATGTATCGAGCCAGGACTTCAATCATGTCTGTTGAAAATCCTAGCTTGGGGAGGTGTCTTAGAACTAAAACCATGTCCGGCTTGAGAAGCCAAATCTCTTTAAGTAGGTCAAAAGCAACACGTTCCAGTTCAGATCTTCCAATATCACAAGTCAAATGAAGGTCCCGTCTTGCCTTTGTGATCAAACTCCGGACACGATCCAAAAGATCTCCCAACTCATTATCCACCTTGATCCATGAAGCGGGACTGCGAACAAGTTGAAACAGAAATGTTAATTCCATCTTAAGCGTCACTATATGATCATCAAGGTGCGACCTTTCGATTAAAACTTCTTTTTCAATAAATTTCATAACATCGCCAATATTAGATTCCAAGTCCATGGCTTTGCACATCAGTAAACAAACTGAAGGAAGTAAGAAGGTCAACAGTTAATGAGGATACCATCAACAAAGAGAGAAATTAATGCTTCTTCCTTTACCTTTAGTGGAGGACAAAGGCGCTGAAAATTCTACCTTTTGAAGTTGGGTTACTAGAATTACAAACAAATTGCAGGAAGGGCTTGAATTCTGCAATTTCTTTACAATATAAACCAATCTATAACAATCAAACCCGAACTAGAGTGCTTCAGGGATGCAGCGGTGACCTTCTGGAGAAGAAGAGACGCTGGGAGCGTGTGTTGAGAATCAGTTATGAGAAAAAACACTTTTCAAAATACGCATATTTTTAAAAAGCCGACATAATACAATATGTGAAAAGCGTTTCTTTTTCGTTTTTATTTTATGGTGAAAAGCGTTTTAAAATAATTTTTTGGGATTAAAAACCATATGTATTATTCTTATTGGCTTCGTTGCCACATCACAGCGTTTGAATTGCACGCTGCTTATTTTGTTAACTAGTGTCAAAACCTACGACAGAATATTAATCTTTATAAAATTATAATTTAATATATCATATCATTTTAATAAGTATTTGGTACTATTTTATTATTTAATATAGTGTACATAAATATAATAAAATCTATACAAAATTAAAAGATACAAAGCATTATAGTAATTAAATAAATTATTTATTCCTTGTTTATTCTTTATTAAATTAGTAAGTACTTAGTATACATTTACTAATGTGAATTTTTATTAATTTATCAATTGGCTTAATATTTTGATACTACTTCTCTTCTAGTAGAACATACGTATATATTTTTATACTTATGTTATACTGTTTAATATTCTTCAATTGTCTAAATTTACCAATAATTTTCTTGAGTGTTATTTATTTATATTTTGTTTATTAATTAATTTAAAATATAAATATTATAAAATTATCTTTATCCACCTCTTTTCATATATTCTTTTCTACTATAATAATGTTTGATTGGTTTTCTCATTTTATATTTTACTGAAATTTTAAATAATATAATTTTTTTTATAAAATTATAATTTTAAATTCATCAAAAGTATAAAAAGATAAGCCTTTTATTATTTTTATAAAAAAGGTACTAATATTTTTAAATAATTAATAAAATATTTTTTATATACAATATAATATATTATGTATAATATCCTTGTAACGACCCAACCGGTTGTTTCGGACATTTACACTCCTTTCAACTATTTTAAGTCTTAAATATCTTCCTATGATGTATTATGACATGTGTGAATCGCCGGATTTGGTTTTTAGGTATTTTGAAATCAATTGGAAGAATGGAATTAAAAATTTAAAGTTTAAGTTGAATTAAATTGACCGGAAGGTGAAATATGTGTAAACGACCTCGGAATGGATTTTTGATCATTCCAATAGCTCCGTATGGTAATTTTGGATTTAGGAGCATGCTCGAAAAACTATTTGGAAGTCTGTAGTTGAATTAGGCTTGAAATGGCTAAAACAGAAATTTATGTTGGGATGTTTGACCGAGGGGTTGAATTTTTGATATCGGGATCGAAATTCGATTCAAAAAATTGGAATAGCTCCATCATGTCATTTATGACTTGTGTATAAAATTTGGGGTCAATCGGACTTGATTTGATAAGTTTCGGCGTTGTTTGTGGAATTTGAAAGTTTCTAAGTCCTTAGGCTTGAACCCGAGGTGGATTTGGTGTTTTGGTGTTGTTTTGAATAATTCAAAGGCTCGACTAAATTTTAATGATGTTATGGATGTGTCGGTACATTTGGTTGAGGCCCCGGGGGCCTCGGGTGAGTTTCGAGGTGAGTTTTGAGCGAGTTCGGATATTTCGGCACTCGAAAGTTGTTCCGTATTATGTGTGTGTG